CCATTCTGCTGGCTGGAATGGCTAAGTCTCTTTTTTTTTTGTGAAACATGACAGTGTTTAAGTCTCTTTTTTTTGGGGTGAAACACAGTGTTTAACTGCCTGGCGCAGAGTGCCTCTGTAGGCTTATGCAGAGTTTGGTAATTACAAAAGTGAACTTATCGCCATGTTTCTTTTCTTGTTAAGATCTTCATTTTGTCAACGTCTGTATCTTAGAATTTCAGAATCACCCATTTGTTTAACTCTTTATCTTCGACAAGCCGTTCCCAGCAGCTCATGGTCGGAACTTCTGTGCCGATGAGCCGCTGACAGCGGCCCGGGTACATTCCTTTACGACGACATGGACATCAAATTACTTTTTGGCAATTGTCGAAAACTGATTCCTTTTACCGGAAGTTCATTCATTAGATGAAGTACTATCATAATAGGTTTGCTAGTTTTGATTTAATTACCCATTTAGTGACGTTTTGTCATTTTTAGATTTAGTACCCCCCTCAGAGATAAAGAGTTAATTGAAAAAATTGAAGTCTTCATTTTTCAAGATTCAGAGAGCAATGCAAAGTAACTTATCTTTAGGAACTAATTTGCTGTATGAAATCAACACACATTTTTATTATCCTTTTTTATCTTCTCCTTTTCCAAAATTAGATGTTGCCATCATCAACTTCTTCATCATCATCATCGGGCGGTAAGACTGCTCCAGCTCAAAATGTTGGTGTGTCACCTGCTTTTTTGGTAAGTTTTATCTAATTTTTAGTGCCAATATTTGATTTGTGTACAGTTTCCCAAACTTAACACCTGAGAGAAGGTTGATGCTCATGATGCTCTTTGGAGTGTTTTGCTTTATTCATTCCGTAGATGTTCCTGTGGTATGCTACAGGAATGCTCACCGAGTTATTAGCATTGTTGCATTCTACGGCCTGAATATTCCAACTATGTTTGTTTCAGGCTGACATCAAACCAGTGACAGATGGCGCCAATGGTCTCAAGTACAACTTAACTCAAGACATCATACAGTCGATATTCAAAACATATCCAATGGGTAAGATGTAGTAGTACTTCAGAGGTGCCAAATTTCTGGACAAATCTGGTTTCCTGAAATTTTCCGCATTTCACCTTGCTATAAGCAGATTGTTGAGTTAATGCACTTTATATAAAAACAGTCTTGATACAAAATGTGTTAGGGGAAATGATCTGTAAATTTTGAGTCCCCTTGTGTGTGCTTCCATAGGGTCCATAAAGTTTGAGGATTTTTTTTTTTAGCCAGTTGGCAGCTTTGGTACATACTACGAGTAATTCTGTGAAGATGTCAGCTTCAAGTCACTTTTATTTGCCAGGGATCGACATGCTTTTTCATCAAGAGTAATATCCTGCTTATAGGATTTTATATTCTGAGCCTTCAACTACCTTATTGTTCCTTATTGATTTGCCAGGTGATATATTTATAAATGTTAATTTGAAACTCTGCCTTGGAATCTTTTGCAGAAGTCTTTTTTTTTTCTAAGTGAAATAGTTTGTTCTTATGTCTGTGAAGCATTTTGAAAATCATTTAATCATCTTTATGAGCTGAATCCCACCTCTCTCTCTCATGTGCAGTAAAAAAGAAGCATGCTGAAGCTGTGCCTCATCAGGTCAGTGACTGTGAGTTCTGGAGTCGTTTCTTCCAATCGCATTATTTCCACCGAGATCGTCACGCCTTATCATCTGAAGATATTTTCACAGAGTGTGCCAAGAATGACGAAGAAGGTATTTCATTTTATTTTGGAAATAATTGGAAAAGGCAAAGATTTGGTTGTTTTTTAAAATATTAATTACATCTTCGTCAGTGGTTGTATTAGATGTGCATGGGAAACCTCTTTATGACTTTAGTTGTTGTTGTTATTGATCCAGAACTTGTTACTTTAGAAACACTGGTATACAAAGAAAATAGTGTCTGCTATTTGATGATCTGATGATTACGGAGACGATATTGATGTATTATGTTGGTGGTTTTTAAAAATGTTTTGGCACTTGTTCTGTTTCAATTGCTGTGTCTTAACCCTATCCGTACGTCGTGTTTTACTATCGTATCCGTACGACATTGGGAACTCTGTGCCACCACTTTCAAAAGAGGAAATTTACTTGTTAATCCAATCTGTATGCTTGGCATAGTGGTCTGTCAAAATGATTTTTTGAGAAATACTGAAAGTTTCAAAGAGATCTTCACTCTAGAAGTATTCTAAAACGTGAAAAATACAACCCTGTGGGTACAAAATGACCTCAGGGCGTACGGATAGGGTTAATAATCTGCTGAAGGTTAACTTAAAACTCACAACATGTAATGAAATTACACTTAAAGGGGGCATATGCATGACTTCAGCCCAGTCAGACTAATTTTCTGACTGTAATTTTTCTTTCCCCAGTTATGAAAGATGAAATCACAAAAAATGTGAATGACCCCTTGGTCGACCTCACTCAGATGAAGGATCAGTCACTGGAGGACGTGAGTGTGACTTACTTATACAGGATGGTTCAGAAAGAATACGCCAAAATCATCATGTGATATTTCAAAAACAAGAAACAGTAGAAAACTCCAGCTTGGACACATGTGTTGTACATACTTTCCAGTTTTTATTTCATGTTTTACAAGTGCTCAATGTGGCCACCACCGGCAGCATGGACAGCGTAAAGCCAATATGAAAATAACTCGCAAACACGCCTCAGAATCTCTAAGGCCACCATATTGATTGTAGCTGTTGATGATTTTGGCATAGTCTTTTTGAATCACCCTATGTTTTCCTAGAACAGCAGTCAATTAGCTGTGCATCCTATGGCTAGAGGCTGAGTGGTGGCAAAATGATCCCCAGTCTAATTAGTCTGTAAAATATAAGTTATGGTTAACTCATTCGCTACGTCGAGCCGTGGGGGGCGGCTCGACAACCGATCTTTAATTTTAGCTTAGATTCTATTTCAATCCACATATCCATGTTAAAATAAAGGTCATAATATAATGTGGACTTCCGGGTCAAGCATTTCCACTGAAAATCGGAGATTTAGATTCAGATTTGAAACCCGATTTCGTAGTTTATTAGACTTTGTTTTATCGCGATGCCAAAATTATACCGCGGACACCAGTCCTAGTAACTCTACACAACAAAATCTATCATTATTTTGCCCACTAAAGAAATGTAGGACTCTTTTTTATAATATTGATACAATTGGACTCATATTGCCAATGCACTGTAAATGAGAAATCAATATTTTTGAGTGCTAGGTTTAGATCTAAATTGTCAAAATATTTTTTTCTCCCCAAAATCACTACTTTTTGAAGAAATCACACAAAAAGCGCCACTCAAGACATGTATAGGTTTATTCCAAATGCAATTCTGAATAATTCCATATAAGATACGAGTGGGTTTTTTCTGTTTGTGATCGTTTTTCAAGATTATAAAAAAATTAATTTTTTTCAATATCGGATGTTATGATCTAAATGTACAAATATTATGGAATGTATGTAAATAACTGCAAACTTTTCAATATTTTCCCGTTTTATATTCATTTATGGTTATTTTGATGTATCATTTGACTAGGTGCAAACATATTTTTTGAGTTTCGCCAAAGATTATTAATTTTTTATTTTCAAATTTTATCCACATCCTATCAAAATTGTGTTGCATAATCGCCTCTTACAGGAACCAAAGTTGAAAAATACATAAATAAACATTACATATGTATTCTACAAACCATACTAAAAATATTGGTATATAAGACGTTGATATTTATTTGAATTTGTGGCCCCAAAGACTTTTTAACTGCCCACTAGTCATCATCTCATTCGCCCTCCCGAAAAAAATTCATCCACAAGCCGAAAATAATACGTAGCGAATGGGTTAAAATCCTTTGTCTTGTTGAATCCACTCCATGAGAGAACAAGAACTGAGTTTGTTTGCATGCACTACAAGAATTTGAAGTGATTTTTTTTTTACATTTTTCTCTTTTGTTTTTGGATCATGTATTAGAGAACATAGTTGATAGTTTGGTGCTCATATGACCCTATGCAGTTGCTAGCGCCGTAAAACCCTCTACTATAAAGAAAATAAATAGTTGATGGTACAACTTTTAAGCACTACTTCTTCATTCTTTCTTTGTTGTTTATGTCTATTTGTCATATATTATGTTTATTGCTATTACATTGATGTTCATCTTTTTCACCCAAATAAGTATTATTCAGAATTGAAGTGCATTGCTTGCCTTTCTTGAATGAAATTACCATAAGTGGACATTTATATGTAGGAATAATGCTCATCGAGCTAAAAGGGTAAACTTATACGTCTTCCTTGTTCACTTGTGATTACAGGACTCCTGAAAAAGTTTTGCAGCTGTCTTGCTTTTCCTCAACCTTTAACATATCAATATTTCTCTCACTGTCTTGTAATCAAACTTGTGTCCTGTGAAATGTGCCCTTGGGTGGTTGGAGGGCTCAACTGAGAGGTCAAGCTTCTTTTCATTCCTTACTTTTCTGTGCACTAAAGAGCCATTAGTGTGTCGATATGCTTCTCTTTACTCCCAACTCCATCTGAAATGTGCCCAATGGTACTTTTACTTTTTCTGTCCTTTTGTACCTCAAGGTGTTGAGGGGATATACAATTGTTGGATGTGGGCCAGGTGTGTTACCGTCAATACTGCATCCACTTGTTGAAAAGTACAACATTGTACGGTAAGCTTCCCGGGAAGCTGAGAATGTTTCTGAGTGTTCTATGGTCTGCTGGGGTAATAATATAGTGTAACGCCCATAGAACTTGCTATCGAGGGAGGATATGCGCTGTACTAATGCTATTAAAATTTATTATATTATTTCTTAAAATTACTTAATGTATATTTTCAGGATTACCGAGGCATAGTAGATGATACAAGAACAAGCAATAACGTGTCCAACCAAGCCATGATCCGGCGGTTCAACCAGCATTCCACACTCGTCCTGCGGGCCTGCACCAGCGCCTCTACGGGAGGGGTGGCCAGCGAAAACTCTGCTGTGGAAGGTGGCAGGAAAGAGAAAGATTCTTCCAGAAAGTCAAAGTCGAATGAGGTGAACCATGTCAATGGGGGTGTGGCCCATCCAACCAATGGGACTTCTGACTCGGTGGAAGAACCTCACAGGAAAAAGGTTAGTGTTTCTCCCCTCCCCCCACTCATACACACCTATTGAATAAACTTTATTTTTTGTTTGATTCCTGTGTGTTTAGGGGGGGTTTTGGTTTTTTTTGTCATAATGTAATCCCTTCTCTCTACTGGATCTTTATGCTCTCTCGTCCCCGATTGGCTGTGGCGAGCAGGGTTAAAGAAGCCCACCTATACAGTCCAAATTTTATGGATGGGAGCATTAAACATCTTCAATAATGATTACTTATAAGGCTAGATGGGTTGCAGTCAGATCAGATCTCTACAGAAAAATGAACCAGTTGCTTCTCTTCTCTTAACCAAATGAGCCAAAGCCCTCTGATCCTGCAGGACCCCTGTACCAGAGCTGTTGGACAGCTGCTTGTTTTCACCACCACTCGGTGGGGTGTACAGATTGGTAATGGTAGCTTGCTGAGGTATCCACTCGGATCCAAAGAGTTAAACAATGCACCTCTGGATTTTTGTGTGCACGGTCGAACCATTTCAAGACGACCATCCATTGTCACGGAGAAAAGCGGTCATTTTAGGCAGGGTGTCCTCTTGAATAGTGTCATTTCTTCTTTATCTTCATGTGTGTTAGGTTCAGAACAGACATTGACGTTCACCCCGAGGGCAGTGCTACAGATGTGAAGTGTCTTTAGGCCATTCTCAAAGGAGGGGTATTTACACGTTCTTATGCACAGTAGAATTGTAAATAGACTGATTTATCAATGTCATGCTCACATTGTCCCTGAACTGCAGCAGGGAAGTGCTGCTTTTTCTTTCATCATCCTTACGATCGTCATTTTTCCTCTACGTCTTTTGTATGTTTGTCACTCATTTGTGAACTGCTATTTCCAGGGTGCCTTGATAGTCGAAGCAGACTTTGTGCTGTTGGGGCTAGAGAGGTGAGCAGAGTAAGCCTGATTCCCCGTTTGGACTTCACTGTTGACATCCACCCCTTGGCGCTTATATGACCTTTTGCAGTTGCAAGCGCCGTAAAACCTTACTAAAACAAAAAAAACTTTCCACACAGCAACAGGTTCTCTAGTGTCATTATAGGATAGCAAATATCGTAAAGGAGTTCGAGGTCATTTGTACAGATACTTGTCTTGAACATGTGGCCGTTATATCAGGTTTGATCTTACTTTGATCCACAGGAAAGACACACGACAACACACAAAGGAGCACACGAGTGGACATGCGTTTTGTTGTTGCATAACATGTGTTATCATTGTGGTAAATCTTTGATGAATTGTTATCTCTACTGTGTGTGTGCTTCAGCTCAACCCACAAAGTCATGAGTATTTTTTTGCATTTGTTTACAGAAACGGATAAAGGAAAAGATTGGATTTGAAGATTTGGACGATAAAGAGGAATCTGAAGGTGTCACTTTAAGGTGAGCAAAAAGTTTCGGGTGACATAGTTAGTTACTCTTTGGTTGTATTTGCTGTTTTTGGTGTTATTTGTCATGGTCATGCAGTCAAATACTGGTTGATGGGGCTCTGAGGTTGTCTGCTCCTTCTGCTTCTTGTCAAGATTTTATTCTGCTGTAAGCTGACAAAACGCCTTTTTTTTAAATTCACTGCAGTTTTGAGAAAAAGAAGTTTTTTGTCAATGTAACCATCTAGAAATAGCATTCTTTCAAAATTTGGATTCTACTTTATTCAAAAACTAGTCACAGTTTCACTTGGATTTTTTTCACACAAGTAGGGTAACTGATCCGGCTTTCGATTTTGCAAGTTAAGAAATTTGGCGCCAAAATGAAAAAAGGGCATTTTGTCAGCTAAGAGCAGTATTGTTTGAAGTTGTTCTTGTCTAAATGTGGCTATTATTGTGAGGTTTGCTGTAAATCATTGGGGCTCAAGCAGCGGGATGGCTAATGAGCTCAAGCTCACATGTACAATGCTCAGCAAAGATACGGCTTACAGATGGTTGATTACCGGTATGTGTCCTTGAGCAAGATACCCAAACCGTTCTTCCATAGTGACTACCAGCAATGTCATTCTACCATTTCAATTTATGTTTTTACTACACTGTTGTCTGTAATGCGTGTTGATATTAAAAATTTCCTTATGGGTCAATGTAGTTGTGCTTTTTCTTAATGTAATTTTTTTTTAACTACACCTTGTGGGTGGTTGACGGGTGCTCCGGTGTGGTTTGCTCCTTCTTTCCTATAAAAGATCTATCGTCTTTATCTCCCCTCCTTCTTTTTTTATATTTGTTACTCTCTTGTAACACCTCTAATCTTCGCCACTTATTGTGTTGCAAGTGCCGTAAAACTCTTACTAAAACTAGACTGCACCTCAACAATTTTCATTTTTCTTGCATTAAGATGGGAGGATGATGGAGCTGTTTATGTGTGTAAGATGTCAGTTTTGGTTTTGGTTTAAACAATATTCTAAAGTGTTATATGAGATTTTTTAGTGTAAATTTATTGACGACATGTAATTGCTTTGTCTGTTGCAGACTGACTCAAATGGACCGCTACCTTCACGGTCCAACCCCGTCCAGCAGCACAGCCTCCGCCTCAGTGGCCAGTCGCCTCGGTCATGATGATGTCACCTCAGAGGATGCCATATTGTCTGTCGCCAGCGAAGTGGAGGGTTGGGGCAGTGCGCGGCACATGGTAGGCTGATCGGCTTTTTCATCCATGGGAACCACTGCTTGGAAGTTTTCAATGGGTTTTTTTTTGGGGGGGGGGGGGGTTGTTTGCTTTTTTTAATGCTTAGTACGTTGCTTTTAATCTGTATGTCCAACCTGTTATTTAGTCCCAAATTTTAAAGAAAGCCATACACATCGAGTTGCATTAGAAATTTACCTTTGGAGAGGAAAATGCAGACACAGTGAAGCATTTCTTTTTCGGTCAGACAGATCTGCTACCCAGATGTTTCCCTATTCATTTCTTATTCCCTGTATATAAAAAATGTGGCCTTTCTACTTGAGGTCAAACCTGTAGCAGCATCTGCAGGTTTACTGTTTTCATGACCAAGTAACATACTCTTTTGACATACATGTACTTTGTGTAAAATGAATTTTGATTCTTGACATTTATCAATGATGACTTGGGGGGGGGGGGGGGGGGTCTGAAGTGGGTATGATGCTTTTTATACCTGTAAATAGATTCCTTGGTCCAGTTCTCATCATGTTGAGCAAAGTGTTCTCTGTGTATGTATGTATTTGTATTCAAGAAGAACACAAAATAGTATGTTAACTGAATCCTGTGACCGAGTTAAAGTTATGACAAGACAAGTCTATTGTTAAGCTTTATTTTTAAATATCACTTTTTCCAACCTTAACGCTAACAGGCACCTTTTATTCTATTTTGTTTTCTTTTGCCCTTGACTTAGGTGCTGGGAAGTACAGAGGCCTTGTCAGTTCTAGGAGAGTTGTCACCAGGTGGCGCCCTCATGTCTGGCACCAGTCTACAGCAGCTACATCGTGAGTCAGCGGCTGTCTGTTCAGGGATAATGTTTTGCTTATCTATGCAGAGGAACATTACATTTAAGTTTGTGTGTGATAAATGATAACTCTCTTTTTCAAGATGGAAATAATTGTGGTATTCTTCAGGATTATACTGTAAATAGGAAATAGTAATAGATAAATAAATTTCACTTTGATCCCTGTGGGGTAATTTGCTTTTACAACGGCATAACACATATTATACATACATATAGATGTATACACATAACAGATATACTACAAACATGCCATTGCTGGTTTCCATTGTGCAGTGCCCAGGGGTTTTCTTTTAAGCTAGGATCATCGTGTCTTGCTTAGAAACGCACTCCAGTGGCCACATACCTCAACACCGTTCACCAATGTGTTTTACGTTTCACTACCTCAGAATTACAAAGTTCTATCTGACATTTTTGGCTGATGGGAGTTACTAAGACCATGGCATCAGAAATCAAATGTTCTATCTCCTCTATCAAAATGGTAAGATTATTCGAAGTTGTCATCGAGATATTCAATGAATTGCATTCGTTAAGGCCTGACATAATGTGAAACTTAAAATCTTTAACATCAGAGTTCTCAAAACAAGGTACTGGGCAAATAGGAATTTGTCATTCTGAGGTAGCGATTTATTGTGAGCCTTCACTTGCTTACCCCTCAGCCAGTGGAGCCACATGTCAGCAGTGAGAAAGAAAACATATCTTTTCTAATTTGTAAATTTTAGATATATGTTTACCTTTGGTGTTTGTTGTTCTTTATTTTTTTTCTAGAACAAGTGAGCCCCGCTACCCGTGATGAAATCAAGCAAAACTACAACGCCATGTGTGAATTGTTACGACATTTTTGGTCCTGTTTCCCTGTGTCGTCCAAGTCTCTTGAGGACAAAGTGAGTGCTTTGCTGCCTTCGTTCACTTTGTTGTTCCAGATAAAACAGAAGTACTTCTTCTGTCTGTGCTGTTAGGGATAGACTTTCACTTTTAGAATGTTTCATATCAATTCCCCTGTGGAGAAGGTATTTTGCAAAGCATCTGCATCGTTCAACTTTAATGTTTTGAATGATTTTTTTATAATTTTTTTTTTTGGGGGGGGGTGTGTATTATTGATCTTGAGATTTGTTTTTCTCTTGAAATTAACACCCACAAAATTTCTTAACTCTTTATCTCCAAGGGGGGTAAACTCACTATGCCGGGGTCTTTTTTTTTTGGTACTAAATCTAAAAGTAGCAAAATCGTCACTGAATTGGTCATTCCATCAAAAAGCGTTAACCTATTTTGATAATTCTTCATCTGATTAATGAACTCCCGGTAAAAGAGACCTGTTTTTGGCAGTTGCTGAAAAGTAACTTGATGTCGAAGTCGTCATAAATTGTTATAAATTGTTATAAATTGTTATAAATTGTTATAAATTGTTATAAATTGTTCTAAATTGTTCTAAATTGTTCTAAATTGTTATAAATTGTTATAAATTGTTCTAAATTAGAATGGTAACATGTTTGTTTTTGCCAAATAGGTTGTGAAGATGAGACAGACCCTGGAACGCTTTGAGATGAGCAAGTTGGCGCCACTAAAAGAAAAGTTGTCACAATACCATTATGCAATGAATGTAAGTCACTGTTCCTGCTTTTGCATCAGATTTTTTTTTTCTCATGAAATACTTTGAAAGAATGATAGACCCCAAATCTACCTGCTCAGCTGTTGGGGGAAAAAATGATGTCAAACGCAAATTCTCTTTGTGAATCCCTTTTGTTTCACGCAAGAACCTTGAGTTGCTTTGTGTTGTCTGCTTTTTTTCTCTTTCCTTGCAACGGCAAGAAAATGTTTGTTTCGTTTGGATTTTGTTCTTGAAACACATCAACACATTTATTCCCCTCCTGTGCGGAGATGTTTGGGGCATTCTGTACAAAGGTCGTGTTTTACTGCAGAAATATGAAGTCTTTTACTCTTTGCACTGCCGCTGTATGTTGTTAGTTTTTTGTTTGTTTATTGTTGGGGGGTGGGGGGGGGGGGGGGTGTTATTGTCACACTGAACTAATTTTAGCTTTCAGGCTATGGATATGGATGGTTAGAGGGTGGTCTGATGTGATTTGTTTGTTCTTTCCTGTCAAACATCTGTCATGCTTACCTTTCTCTCTTTTTTGTGTTTGTTACTCTCTTAATATTATCTAATTGCCGTCTCCCCCCCCCCTGGCGAGGCGGTGCCACTGACTGTAGTGTCTTTAGGCCATTCCCAAAGGGGGGACATTTCTCGTTCAAGCACTGTAGAATTGTAAATGGGCTGATTCATGTCACGCTCATAACTGTGCCTGATCTACAACAGGGAACTGCTGCTTTTTCTTTCCTAATCCTTACTATTGTCATTTTCCTCTACTTCTTTTGTATGTTTGTCACACTCTTGCGACCTGCTATTTCCGGGGTGGCTTGATAGTTGAAGCAGACTTTGCGCTGTTGAAGCTAGAGAGGTGAGCAGAGTAAGTCTGATTCCCTGTAAAGACTTCTCTATTGACACCCACCCCTTGGCGCTCATATGACCTTATGCAGTTACGAGTGCCGTAAAACCCTTTGCTATAATAATATAAAAATAATCTAATTGTGTTGCAAGAGCCGTACAGTAAAACTCTTACCAAAGCAAAAAGCTATGTACCATGTTAGGATTTCCTGTGTTTTGTCTTAATGATAATTAGTAGATATCCATAGTGCCCACTGTGCAATTGGCTCAAGACACTTTCCATCAAAATTGAAATCTGTGTAGCTAAAAATAAATCTGTTGCGCCAAATCCTGTAAGACATTTTGCTGTCATGTCTGTTCACAGCTGACTGGACACCTGGAGGAGATGCTGAGGGCAGCTTACCTCAAATTTGATGCCTGGCAAGCGCGACGTAATGCCCGTAGACCATGATTCCCACCATCCCTTTGTCCATACAAAGGTTTCTGTTATCTGTTTGTTTTTTGCCAACACAATACCAGGAGTACCACAGGCAAAGCCTTCCTAAACCGTAAGACAACAGCCGAAGCACTAGTTTCTTCCACGAGCCAGACCGCGCGACTTCCTCGGAACTGCTCTGAAATCAGTTCACAGTGGAGAGATGGGTGGTGTTGTCTTCTTAGGGACCCCGTCATTGGCAGACCTTCTTAGAGCTTTAGAGAAGTGTGTGTGGTTCTCCTTGACCTTGGTCCGGCTACTGTTGTTGTAGTGGTCAGATGATGTAAAGTTACAATTGCAGCCAACCGTCATTCACTGGACCATCATCTTTCCAGATTATTCTGGAATTCCAAAAGTTTCTTGCATTTTGTGCTTATTAAGTTGTTTGGAGTTTTTTTTTAATGTATTTTTGTAGCTCATTGCGCTTTCTTTTTTTTTTTTGAGTGTGCGTAATGGAAATGTGTCCTTGGATAAAATCCAATAAGGTACAGAAATTGTGTGGATAGTTTGAGGGTATCACAAGTATGTCTACTTTTTTACCCCCTCCCTCCTAGTTTCTGAAGGTCTTTTGTTTGGGGGGTGTTCTGTACGAAATGACCACCATCATTTTGATGTGCTTCTTCTTACTGACGCACACTTGTAAATCAAAGATCTTAGTAGATTCGAGTGACACACTGTACTGTGAACTTGACAAGATGATAAAGGGTACATTTTTGTACACATGCATACATGCTCAGATCATGTAAATGGTTATATTGCTTATAGGCTATAGCTCAGGTCATGTAAATGGTTATATTGCTTATAGGCTATAGCTCAGGTCATGTAAATGGTTTTATTGCTTTTAGTTCAGGTCATGTCAGGATGATGAAGGAGGGCATATTCGTGCATTTTCCCTGAATTCCATTTTTCATGCAGGGCTGAGAAAAATGTTTGGTATTTAATTCTGTGTGGGTTTTTTTATAGTAAGTTGGATTGGACTCTTGTTCTCTTTATAAGCCAACTGTGACGTTTTTGTCTCTGAGTCAAGGTGCTGTTCTGTTGTGTACAAGTGAGAATGATGTCCTTCTATGGTCTTGTTATCAAACCAGTGTCTACATTAGGCTCCTTCCCTTCCCTGGAAAAGGCCTGAGTTTAATGAATTCTCCCTGAAGAAACAGTTTTATTTAGTGTGATAATCAGTCCACTGGAATGTAGTATCTCATTCCACCCGGGATGGCCCTGACAGGCAGGAGGGATGTTCCTTGTCTTCTTCGTCACCTTTATTGTGTCAGAAGTGGGAAATGTTTCTTAACTAACCAGGCTATGTGATGGTTACTTTATTTTACTTTCACTTTTTCTTCCTGTGTTGCTGTTAAGCTTCAAGGGGAGCTGCAGTTTTCTGTGGTAGGCCAGCTCTGCAGCTTTTTCAATTGGGATATCATTTCTCAGGGCTTTCTTGACTTTCTCAATTCCATCTTTGGCTTGATCCACCTCTTCCTTTCATGTCTTGGTTAACAGTTAAAAAATGAAGAAAGAAAATAATTATCAATTGGGTCCAGAAAGTATTAATAATGAGGTATGAAAGGCTGAAAATTTGGTTCAGATGAGTTAAAAGTAAAGTCCAGAAAGAGTTTTCAATAAAGGCGGGAAAGAGGTGGAGTAAGATCTGGAGAGGGCTAAAAATGGAGCTCAGAAAGAGTTGAAAATGAGGTCTGAAAAAGATAGAACATAGTTTTTATGGTTTGAGAGGGAAAATGTGTTACATGTTATATATACATAGACATTCACTGCCATCATTCTCTGAGGAGTTGTACTTTAACTGTTTGTATGAAACTTCACAATGTTATTGTTGCTAAGCGATAAGGTCCTTGTTGTGAAAATAAATCATGAAAGTCTGATTCCATTTCAAACATGAAAATCCGTCTGTTGCGTTTTTCTTTTCTCTTTTGTATTCTTGTGTGTGTGTGTGTGTGTGTAGGGAGGGGTGCTTCCCTGCCATTCCTGTTAAAAAATACTTGAAAACAAAAGGTGCTTCAGTTTGTTTTAATTTTAATAATAGTTAAAAGAATTAACCTGTTTTATTTTGCTTTCTTGATGCTATTTTTGTGTTGTTAGGAAATAGTTCTCTGTTGTCAATGGGTGACTCGGATTAGGTCTATGATATTTTAGTCAAGCCCTTTCTGTTCTCTGCTCTTCTGAGTCATGAGATTGGGGGGGGGGGGGTCTCTTCCGTAACCAAAGCGGAGGGCACCACTGGTAGGTCGGCTTTCTTTATTCCTCTCTGTTGTTTCTGTCTCTCTGTCTTGCTTTTCCCCTGCACTATATGACCGCTATTGTGTCGAGATATGCTTCTCTTTACTCCAACTTTAACCAGAAAGTCAAATACATGTTTTTTTGTTGTTGTTGTTTTTTTCCACAAAATGTGAAAATGTTTTTGTGGCAAATTAATGCATAATTTTGTGGTTAGCGCAGTAAGAGTTAGAGTAAGGGAGCAGCCTGTGCTGTGTATTTTAGTGTCAGAGTTCTTTCCCCTAGAACAATCTAATAATTTGAATAATAATTTTTTGGAAGACGTTTTGAAAATCAGTAAATAACTGTCCTATCTTTCTTTTTTTAGGTAGGCCTACATGTACTTGTTTTTTACATCCCCACCAATACCATTTAGATCATTAGGAGACCGGCTTCCTAAGCTGCCTTTCAAGACCAACACTGGCTAAGAGTAAGAGGGATACAACATCCCAGCAGAAAGACCGAATACTGAATAAAAATTCATCCCACTCTGGAATCAAATTCGGGTCTCTTGCATGTGAGAGAAAAGTACCTAACTGCTACACCACAGGCACAGGACGGGACATGTGTCATATCTCTGTGATTGAGAAAAGTAGGTCTGTTACTGTCATCGACATCTTTTTGGTGCCATGTGTGCAGTGATAAAGGGAAAGTGTTTATTTTGTGTACTTTTCTTTTATGGGAGCAAAAGAAACCCCCAATTCAATTTACTCGAGGCCTTAAATTGTCAATGTAACAAACAAAAAACTAAGAGTAAGAGGTTTGGGGGGGGGGGGGTCATTTCTGTTCGCAGTTGTTTTATTGTTGGGTTGTCTGTCTTCGATCGACCACAGTATTTTATTTTAAAGAAACTGCGTGTATTATCATGGGAGCTGTGGTCACATGTGAGAGAAAAAACACTACTGATATCTATAGAACAGGGTAAAAATTTGCTTGACTGATCATGAGATTTCTATTAAATAAAAGATAATGATATTTTATTTGGCGTATAATAATCCGCCTATTGGTAAATTTTGAAACCGTGAACAAATTTTTGGTATAATGGTGGATACTCATTGAGTTCATTTTTAGTGCGGCACAATTGGATCAACCATCACATTGTATTCCAAGGCAGCATTGGGCATAATGTGCTGTCTTGTCTTTCTTGGGTCTCTATAGGGGTGTAGGGTTGCCCTGGTAGAGTGATTAGGGCACTCTCCTCTTAATGGGTGGTTGTTGGGTGCTCTGGCGTGGTTTGCTCCTTCTTTCCTTTCAAACATCTGTCATCCTTATCTTTTCTCCTTCCTTTTTGTGTTTGTTACTCTCTTGTAGCACCTCTAATTTTCGGCACTATGACCTGATCGTATTGCAAGTGCTGTAAAACTCTTACTAAAATTAAAGAAGTAGTTTTATTGACTCAAATGTGAGTCTGATTTAGCTTTTTGGGAGTAACGGATGTAGAAAGGGAGAACTTTCGTATAAATCTCCCGTCAGTTGTAATTGATTTCATGTGAAGCAGAAGCAGCATTGAAGGGTGTTTGTCAATGCGTTTGCAATTTCCATTTCCAAGCACTTTGAAAGTGCAAGTGTACGGTACATGTACGTGTATTTCATTTCTATTCATGTGTGTGGGGGTTACACATATGTAGTTGCGTCTTTAGAAGTCATCTTTTTGACAGGAAGTCGGTGATTGGCGGGTGCTCTGGTGCGGGTTTTTTTTAAGTTTTAGTAAGAGTTTTACGGCACTTGCAACACAATATAAGGTCATATAAGTGCCGTGGTGTGATTTGCTCCTTTCCTATTGTCCTTATCTCTCCTTTTTTATTTGTTACTCACTTGAAACACCTCTAATTTTCGGCATTTAAATGACCTAATTGTGTATGCCATAAAATGCTTACTAAAACAGCAGAGGAGCTACTTTGAATGGTGTATGTCAGTGTGCTTGCAATTTCCATTTCCAAGCACTGTGAAAGCGCAAGTGTACACAATATATTTCTGTTTATTTGTGTGTGTGTGGCGGGAAGGTGACATAGATGTAGTCAAGTCTGTAGAGGTCCACTTTTTGACAGGGAAAGGTTTTTATTCCGCTTGGAGGAGGTGGGGGGGGTTACCCATTTGTTGTTTGTTGAGTGTTTAGAAATTCCCTTTCTTTTGAATGAAATGTTTTTTATTCCTCTCGCCACCTGACAGGTCATGTTGCCGTGGTTGTATCACACATTTTAAAAACTGCAAATAATATTGAAGGGCATTATTTCTGTTCCTATTTGGTTTCTTGTTTTTGTGCTGCTTTCTTTTGTCCACCTAATGCATCAAAACAGCCATAGTATGCTATGTAATGTCACTGAACAAGGACATTTATGTACATATATAAATATGGATTGTGTATGATTATGATGACAATGTTTCTGAGAATATGAAATATAAGGCTTTTGCCTTATTAAGACTTAAGGTCTGCAGTCAGATTAAAGGTACTGGAGTTCCATTTTCTGTGTATGTGAGTGTGTGTGTGTATTAGTTAACGGAGTATTACCACTCCTGTGAGTGGGAAGTACAGGACATTGAAAGAACCATACCATACAGATATCACAATGGTTCAAACCCCTACAATGGTATTCTGTTACTGTTTGTGTCAGTTTTCATAGCTGTTCCTTATCTCAATCCTATCAGAGATGGACATTATATTCAGATGTCCCAGTTTTTAACCTTTAAGTTTAAAGATGGAAAAAGAATCGAATCCCAAACCCTTCTGTTTTAGTCTCCAATGTGTGTCCTGTGATGATAGCACATGTATCTAATCAGGCATATGCCTCCCTCACAGATATTAACTGTGAAGAGGACAAAGAAAGAATAGATGGTCTACACTGTTGTTTTTATATATATATATATATATATATCTGAGTTTAACATCTATCTCCAGAAGGACCGAGTCAAATAGGAATTCCGTGTAAAGTGCCCTTCAAGGGCACGTCGGACCAGGCTGAGGCTCAAACCCCCGAACCCGCAACCTAACGACACATTAGACGTGAGGATCCACTGCGGACAAAACCTTAGCAAGAAAACGAATATTTCTCTTCTATGTATCATGTTCGGCAAATTTCTCTAATTACCTTTTCGCTACCTCAAAATTACAAAGTTCTGACCGACATTTTTGGCTGTTTTGAGTCACTAAGACCATGACGCCATAAACCAATTGTTCTATGCATTATTCGGAGTCGTTATCAAGATATTCAAAGAATTGTTTCGAAAAAGATTGACAAATGAAACTCAATTTTTTTTCGGCAAATTTCTCAAAACTAGGTTTTGAGTGGATAGAACTTTGTAATTCTGAGGCAGCATTTCGTCACAGTATCACATCCTCATTCAATTTGACTTATTCCATTAACAATCGAAATGCCAACAAAAAAACAAAAAATCAGCTCACTTTAGGCACATCATGTTTTATTTCAATAATACAAAATCATGGGCACATTCCATTTCAACAAGACATCATCACCACATACCAACAACAAAACATCTCAACAGTAATGTCAATACATGTATATTATCAAAAACATTTCATTTTCCCGTAGACCAAAAAAAACAAAAAAACAACCACACATTGACTTGTCAGTTCTTGTAGCTTCTAAGGTGGGCCAACAAAACACTGGCCATTGCAGCTGCTTAACTATTTATCAAAGGTTTGGATTGGGTAAAGGGAAAGTTGGGGGGGATTTAAACATGACACCCAGCCTGGTCACAATGGAATGAAAGGAGTAGAAAATGGAAGGAAATAACGCTTCACATCCTGTCTGTAGCAATGTGTTCATCGAACTGTGAAAATGAAAATCACTATAAATATGTAAACTTAGGGCTGTTGCAATCAACGAAATTATTAAAAAAACCTGATATCTTTCTGTAAGTGAAAGTGGCAAAATGTTCATGACCATGTCTTGATTTTTATCTGGACAAGGGCTGTTTGCCACATTTCACCACAGATCTATAACACTAGGATTTCAATGCCATGAAGAGCACAGGGGGAAAACGACAGTCACAAACTGGAAATAGTGAGGGTGCCAATCTTAAAAGCTTGTGGACTTATAACATCATATTTGTTTGACTGGTGGTTTATTGTTAAGTGTTGAATGGTAAATCTAAAAACAATAATCAACCAACAGTTGAACAGAAATACAGTTAAGAGTCAAAAAGCGTTCAAAATTGGTACCCTCGAGATTTTCAGTTTGTGACTACAGTTGTTTTTCCCCTGTAGCCTAAATATATATATATATATATATATATTATATCCCTCTTCACAAGAAAAATAAAATCTTGTTTAACCCTGCTTTACAAGGTCAGTAAAAATAATTAGAGAATTGCTTATTTTTCTTGCGATATCTTAAGAAAACTGTTCTGAGGAAGAAAAAAATCATTATGCCAAACAAAACTCTCTTCACCTCTTGATCTGGAAAAAAAAATAGATCACGATTAGTGGATGCAAAAACTCTCAGTTCTCAGTCGGGGCCATGTTCAGAAGCCACACAGATGGACACCATACACAAAGGTAGGAGTGAAGTGGGGCATCATTTCTCAAACCGACAAAGCGACCAGAAGACAACCTGAAGAGCTCAGTCAGTCTTTTCTTCAACCTGAGCAGCAAAATCAGAGTCGGAGAATCCTTCAAGAGCGGTCTGCATTGAACAGCACGCATGATTTGAGTTTGAATTTGTGTAAAGAGCAGCACATCAACAAGAAAATGGTCATTCAGTGCTGGGAGAGAACAAAACGGAAAGAAATAACGCCTGGGAAAGTAAAGAAAAAGAACATACCAGTGGCGCCCCCTAAACACAATTTTTAAAGAGACAAATATATTGGCAAGAAATGGAACTGCATTACTTCACGGTTAAGAAACACAAACACAGAACCTCTCAACAAAGACATGTTGTGCTTCACTAGACAAGTAATGTATGATTCAAACGTGAGTGAAAGCAGCTTGTTGTGCATGATAAGCTGCCTTGCTGATTGTTTCCAACAGACTAGGTAGGTATAACGGAATGTTCTGGTTATGGGTGAAAGCTGGAGTAAAGTAAGCAAACCTTCCATTAGAGAAGATCACAACAAGAAGAAAATACCACTTTTATTGGTTATCACAGTATGACTCTCAACAAAAAAAAAGTTCAAAGGATTTTCAGTCCAAGCTGGTGCTCATGACTTGTTGCAAGACTAGCAGGAGATACAAATTGACAGAGAACCAAAACACAATAACGTGCACTGTCTCCAACAACTAACAATGAGGTTTTTTAATGTCTGAGGGCACCACCACAAATCCGGGAACAAACGAGAACTTTTCAAGGTCTCAAGCCAAAAAACATCTTGCGAAACCAAATGCAAACCAGCTCACTGAAGGTTATCCATTTTGCTGTGCCCTTTGGGGCTGAGACGAGGCTGACAAAGCTTCCTCAGGAGTAAACCGTTAGCTTTATTCAAAGCTCTTTCTACATTAATGGCAGCAGAAATTATTACCCAGACCTCACATCCGTCCTAGGTGTACAAACCTCCGATGAGTGTGGCTTCACAAATGGCAATGTCTGCCACTGAGAGAAATTTGCATCACAATACATACAAAAATTAAAACCACAAGGATAGACAACTTTCTCTCCCTCTCTCTTACTTCTTATTTCTCCAGGCTATTCGTTTGCCTGCCTCATCTTCTCCCTTGTATTTCTTGCATTAAGTCTGTCCGTCTTCTGTACATCTCTGTCTGTCTGTTTTACTGTCGTCAGTCTCATTTTTTAATCTCCCTAAACATCTGTCCGTTTTTCAGTCCATCTGTGTACGTATTTTTGCCTTACATCCGTCCATCTTTTTTATTTACTAAGTCTGTCTGTGTCTTATAGTCAGTCTGTCATTTTTTTTACTCCCTAAACGTCTGTCCATCTTTTTTTTAGTCAATCTGTGTACGTATTTTTACATTACATCTGTCCGTCTTCTCTATTTCTGCAATTGTCTGTGTCCAACTGTCAATCTGTCATTGCTTTACTGTCTATGTTGTTTCGTCCGTCTGAACATCTTTCTCTTTCTCTCCCTCATTCTTCCATAGAAGTTCATTCAGCTTTCTCTAGTCACACACGTTCACACATGCAAAGACATAAATTATATGAAAAAGAAACACCAAGAGAAAACATAAAATGATGTTCACAAAGAACAAATAATAACAAACAGGCATTTGTACTGTTCACACACACACACACACACACATATTCACACATGTAATGCACACATTATATAAAAATGAAACAAACACACACAAACACAAAAGTATGTAATACACACATTACATAAAAATGAAATACACACACACACACAAACACAAAAGCATGTAATACACACATTACATAAAAATGAAATACACACACACACACACACAAACACAAAAGCATGTAATACACACATTACATAAAAATGAAATACACACACACACAAACACAAAAGCATGTAATACACACATTACATAAAAATGAAATACACACACACACAAACACAAAAGCATGTAATACACACATTACATAAAAATGAAATACACACACACACACAAACACAAAAGCATGTAATACAAACATTACATAATGAAAAACATAGTGAAAGTGAAACATTATATCCACATCATTTTTTTTTTATGTATGCACAAATGGCTCACAGTGCACACATGACTTTTGGACAGAGGGTAAGCCCAGATCAAATCCTAACGGGCCACTGCATAACCCTATATGCCCTTACTATACTATCACAGGGGGTATTTTACCAATCAATCCCCTTTTTTTCCAAACCCCCAAACACGGCTGTTACTAGAAGCATGTGTCCCATGCAGAGATCTCCCAAGTTTATCTATAAATCTATTTTCCCATAGGATGGCGTACTAATCTTACTTTATCAAAAAGAATAAAAACTTCAAATGGGTATCTCCTTTTTTGAATACTCATTACCGTGGCTAAAGAGATTTTTTTTTTTTTTTATTTACAAAATCAAATATAAGGTGGAAGTAGTGGGGAAAATAAGAGAAATAAGTTAACAGCAAAATTTCTCACATGTTCGCCGGTATATGCATTACTATAGACGTACCAGATAGTGAAGGGTGAAACTTTTCAGTCCAACTGGGTGAATTCTGACGACCCTCTTCTGACCCACTAAGAATTCAAAGTACAGTCGAACTCGTCTAAGACCTGTACATGCAAATGATCACTTCCCCCCATCCCCCCAAGCACTTTACATGAAACCAAGTGTATCTTAGTCGGCAGGAAAGGATGTCCACTACAAATTCAAGTTGAAAAAATATTATTCCATTCATTCAACCACTTTGAGATCTTTCAGAAAAATAACAACTGAATATATATCATCAAGTAAAGTCTGATGGTGGAGAAAACGGATGGAGCTATAGATGATAGATTAAACAATATGGTGTCTGATCACTAAAAGCACCAAAAAAAAATAAAAAAATTAATGTGCTTTGATACTATACTTGGGTCACTGATCAGGTTCACACTCAAAATTATTTTTTTTTTAAATCACACTTGAAAATGCCACTTCCCCATAACATCTGTAAACAACATTTCTTGAAGGACACTACGCCAATAAGTCATCAATGTCTTGTAAGAGATCATCAATATCCTCATCCACAGCCGCAGCATTCTCCTCTTGAGCAAAATCTCCACCGTCTAACAAGGCAAACTCATCATCGAGAGACAGCCGAGATTTTTTCTTCACTATCCTGAAATGATAAGATCAAAAATGTTCCAATTGAGTTAGAAATAGACAAGCAATTTCAGAAAAATTTTAACTAAAACGAAAGTATGGGGGAAAAAAGAAGGAACTAAAATCTAGTCAGCCAATTATTTCTTACTTTAAAGAAATATCTTCATAGACAAAATTTGACTTTGAGCCAATATTTTTGTGATATTACTATAAACATTACAAGACCTGATTTCAGCAGACGATGTATATTTCATGTCTTAGAGTAAGAGTACAAAAATACAGACATACATCAATCAATCTGAATACCTTGATGAGGGACAAACAATATCTATTGAAGAACAACACCAAAAAAAAACCCCACACACAAAGCCATTTTTAACCACAGAAAAACTTTGAGAAATTACCGAGACTTGATGTACACCTGCCCCCACCAAAACACTTAGCTTTTCATTAACCATCCTTCTCATTTAAAGTCTAAGGAATAAAGACAAAGCTCAGCCACAAAAGTACATTTGACGACTTCTGAACCTAAAGGAATAAAACAGGTTAGACACTTCAACCAGTCAACATAGAAAAACCACAATAAAAGAAGTAGGGAGAGGTAACCGCTAAGCCCCAGTAGATATCTGGAACAGATTATCGAGCATTACTTGTGTGATGGTTCCACCCTCAAGGTTTATTTCAAGGGCAGAACAAGTGGTCTCTTATCAAGATGCTGCAGTGATAGGCAATATTATAGGACAGAAAGGAAAAAACAATTCAGATCCATTTTGGATTTGTACCTTGACCTTCCATGTGGCCGATCAAATGTAAATCTATAGCACCACAGTGGCAAATAAACCTAAAAGTGTGCTAAAAAAAAAAGAAAGAAAGAAAGAAAAAGGAAAAAAATAATATTTGGACAAGTCTCCGGCACTTACTCTGGTTCAACAGCAGCTGGAGACTTGTGTTTCACAGCAGATGAACTCGACACAACAGGAGCTGTGGCAGCGGACAGGGTGAGGCTCACGTCGCCCTGAGCAGGGAGGGGGGCGGCTGGCTGGATTGGTCTCTTGTTCTGAGGCACAGCTGCGGGGACTGAGAACGAGGGGGCAGCGTCGACGGCACTGGCCAAGGTTCTACGGTTATTATCACTGCCCACCACGGGGTTAGAGTTCACAGATAACACTTTCGGTGATTTGAAAGGAATGGGTGAAGAACTGTCGGATAAATCCAATGATAACGATAAAGAGTTGTCGTGTAAGTCCAAGATAGCGGCATCTTCTTCTGGCCTCTCGACGGACACTCTCTTCTTGAAAAGTTTCTTTTTTGGAGTAAATCCACCTTGGACTAGTGTCTTATTGCCAGTGTTGGGCAAGACTTTCTGTGTGGGAGGGACAACACTGGTGCTCGCAGAGGCTGCTCTGTTTTTAACAGTCACAGCTGAGCTCCCATGTGGCGGTTCGGGAACAGTGGGCTTGAGGCTGGAGACTGCTGTGGGCATGGGTTGTGACTTGACCCTTGATACAGGATCTGTGAATACAGAGAAAAAACAGATAATGAACTGCCTTTCTTTTCAATCAAAGTATTTCACGCTTCAAAAACTACAGCTAGCTTTGGCAGGAATAGGAGAGGGAAAAAAAGACGAAGACACAGACCACAATCTGAAAGCTTATTTTTTCTCTGTCAAGATTTGAGTTTTTCACCTCATAACTTTTACTTTTCAGTTCGTTATTTGTTGTAAAAAAAAATCATTATTGATTTCCTTTTTCATTCTTTTTTATTATTACTTTATTTCTTTTTTTCATTCCAACCAAGTTTCAAGAGTTGTTTTTTTTTCTTCAGAGTATGAGTTCTAATCAGCTGCCGAGAAATCTGTGGTGACTTTTATAAATAAACATTTGTAACATCATTTATCATCTCTGAAGGATTCACATTTACAGGAAAAAAGTCAGAACTGAAATCAATACAAGGCTAATACAATGAAAAAATATCAAAAGAATAAAGGACAGAAACAAGCTCCTACGAACCATATTAATATAAAACAGCAAAGGAAAATGCGTTGCTAAAATAACAGCCAAACACACAACTTTGGCAACTTTTAAAAACAAACTAGTAAAAAACCAACGGTGCATCCTTCATTTCCATTTCAAGGGAAGTTTGTTTTGTTTTTTCTAATATGTCACTATTGAAAGCACTGTGAACACAAAATACAATTCTATCTCAAGAGCTTTTTGTAAGTGGACACAACTTTACATATATATAAGGAAAAATATGTCATACCTTTTTCAAAAACAATGGGGCTTATGGGTACTCGAGATTTCAGAGGACTAGAGTTGAATGGTTTGACACCTGCTGTACTTTGCACCTTCACAGGGGCGCCCGAGGAAGAGAGGGCAGAACCAGGGGTACTAGAGGCTGCTTTCTGTGCCTGCATCTCCAACCTCCTCCGACGTTTCTCTGCCATGATTTCAGAAAATGACTTGATGGAAACCTCCGAGGATTCAGAAGTAGAGGCCTGAAAAGGGAAAAACAAGAGACATCAAGTTAAAAATAAGCAATATTGTACCCTGCTACTATGTCCTAAAATTCAAATCTCAATTCGAACGCTATATAAGGACATTTTTCTTTTTCACATGTTTTAAGTAAGAGTTATCGGGTATTCTTAAAATACCACCTTTTGTTGTTGGGAGGTTTCTCCCTGTGGATAAAAACTCTCTACTTTACGGCCTATGAGTGATTATTCAGTTACAATGTTTAGCCAAAACAAGGAGAACATGGTTGGAGAAAAGAAAAAAGTAATATGAAAATCACAAACCAAATTTAAAAATAAGACATTTCCCATTATGTAATGAAAGCAGCCAAATATTTTATTACATTATTGTTTCAGCCATAACAGCACAATGGAACTTAACTTTTCCAGATGTCAGACTGTTAAAAACCAGAAAAATGGTTAAAAGAGGGAAAGATGAAGAAATCTGTGAGCAAGCATTCACTTTGCTGACAACAAACTAACAGTAAAAGCAGAATCACCGCTTTATTGTACAGCATTCCAAAACCACTATTTTTCAGAGACAAGTATAAATTTTTCTACGCTGATTGTTGCAGATCTCGGTGTACTTTGCCGTACAACCCTCCTCCTTTTGAAATACGTAGTTTGAAAGCATGGTTTATTACTCAACGCCTCTAGTAGATCTATGGAAATGTTATTCACTATTCAGTAAAAACAATACAAAACACAATTCATGAGCACCAAAAACTTGGTACATATTTGCTCAAATTTTAAATAGACGTACCGGAGCAGCTGGCTCAGTGCTGACGTTTCCCAACCTGCTTCTGGCAGAAACAGACACTGTGGGCTCAGCAAAAATTTTCCTTTCCATACCAGCACCAGAAGCAGCCGCCATCTCTGGACGTTTGACCATGCCGCCTTTCGAGGACAGAGAAAGCCCAGCAGACCACGCTGCGGCCATGGGATGAGGTCCCCTCTTCCTCCTGCCCTCACGCACAGCCGCAGCCGAGTCCTCTACCTCCGGGACTTCCACAGTTTCTGTCACATGAGACAAGGCTTGCGTGGGCTTCACCAAAGCAACTGCAACATTAAAAGTTTAGTTTGCTGAGAAGTGCTTACAGAGAAATCAAGCAACACACTGTACTTCATTAGAATTAGAGAGAAGCCCATTGCAATAACATCAGTCATTTAGTGTCAGGAAAAGATAACACAGGCAAAGTTTCAATACGTCTTGTTCCCACATCTCTTTCATTTGAATGGTGTGCCTGCCTCACTTTCAGAATCCGTAGCCATTTCATGAAAAACAGCTTCAGCCATACATTTTAAGTCTTCTCGTAGCTCTGATAAAAGGCATTAACCCTCATTCAAAAAAGAAATCCGCTAGAACAGTGCTTGTCAACCTTTTTTACAGCCAGTGTCCACTTTTTCAACCTTCTAAAGGCTACAATTTTCATATTTCTAAGCAAGGGAATAAATAACACTTGTAACTAACTTGCCTGTCACCCATCAAAATTACCAAATCACCCCCTAGTTGGTGATATTGCCCAGATTGGCAAGCACTGTGCTACAGTATACTGATTTGCCATTTCCTTGGTGTGAATGACATGAGTTTCTTTACTTGGAAACCTTTCATATGGCAACTATAGATAAATTTCTTCAAAAGTACAAACAAATAAGCTGTATTTTAATTATTTACTCATCTAGACTTACCTGATTTTTTCAATGCTGGTGGCATGTAAATTTGCCGCTCCCCTTTTGACTTCTTGTGTTTGTGTTTGTGCTTATGTTTACGAGACTTGGACGACTTCTTTCCTTCATCATCACCATCATCAAGACCATCCTGGGCCTCTCCAGCTTCAAATTGAGCTGGACAAAAATAAATAAAAGACAAATGTAACACCCAAACTTACTCTTTCCCACATGCATACAATGGCCAGGATGCAAAAAATGATTTAAATAAAAACAAAAAACAGGTGTATATTCCAGACCCCACAAAGTTAATCACCTTTTTCCTCAAATGCACCACGGTGAGTTCTTCTCAGACATTTCAATGTGATGGGTTTTTTACACTCATATTTTTTTTTTAACCTACACTGTCCTGGTCTGTCCTAGTCAATCATCTGTTCAAGTTGCCCAGGTAAGTCGTTCTTGGTCTACCTCAGCATCTTTTCTCTTCTTTTTTTAAAAGTAAAAGCAATATATTCAAGGTCTTTCAAAAGAATTAACTGTCTCAAAAACCACCATTTTCCATTTTCAAAAGTTATCATTATATTCATCACGACAGAAAATAATTTAATTAATAGTACCTCAGGACATACACCTAGATTTCATGTATCAGTTGTACAATTATGTAAATTTAAAAAAAGAAATACAGTCAAAGGAGCTGAGGATTCATGTAGCATGGAAAGGCATAAAGAGAAGCATACAAGGACACAATCACTGCTATCTAGAACAAGGAGTAAGCAGGAAAGACAGAAACAACATACGCCTGCCAGTGGAATGCTCCAACAAACGTCTGAAAATCTATCAATCCCCTGATCCCCCCAACCAAACCGTGAGTTTTTAGATGGGCACACAACAACTTTGTCATAACATCACTCAACACTCCTCGGAGATGCACTTGACATTTGAAAATGATCAACTCTGAGTACATCAGAAATACGTACACGTTTGAACGTCTTGGTCAGCTGCCAGGCTGTCACTTTCTTGACAGACAACTGTGAGGAGAAATAATGATAAATAGAAAAGATCATGATTCATTATAAAACAATACTTCAGGGACAGTTCTTTCCAGGAATGAAGCAAAGGAGATTTTGACAGACACCATTATTAGTCTCACCCCATAAATCTTATTCTTATTAGTCCAGAACTGCTGTCCACTCTACCGAAAAACACAACAAATTAGACACACCCTACCCATTTCACTTCTTGGTCTTTAGTTTAGTTTAGTACGGGGTGTTACGGCGCTCGCAACTGCATTAGGTCATATGAGCGCGCCAAACACAAGTTAGTTTTATTCGCAGTTCACTGTACAGCTGGGTACGTGTCATTAGATCTTAAAACGTTAAAATTTTAAAAATTTGGTGTAAACATATATTTTCAATCTATAACAACTTTCATTTAAAAATGTAATATTTCTTGGTCTAAGACAGAACAATTAAACAAAACCTCATTACTAACTGGACTAAAGACAGAAACAATTTGAGACCTGCCACATGAGATCTAAAACACACATCAGAAAGACACAAAACTGGCAACTTGTCTCCACAAAAAGCGTCTTCTGTTTGTTAGTCACTTTCAATTTGGAACTTCCACAAAAAAATATATAGATTAACTTCAGCATGTTCCCTCAATCAAACAGACAAGCAAATACACCTTAAATTTTTTTTAAATACCATAATAAAACTAGTGGCACATCATTTCAACAAATTCAAGACTTACCGACTGGGCCCAGTCTTTGCTTTCTACTCTCTAACTTCTTTTGCAATGCTTTTCTTCTCAGCTGTGCAAAAGGGGACAAATTGTCAAGAGGTGACTCGTCTGTCTCAACCTCTCTCTGCTTGCCAACTAGATCCAAGAAAAAACATGAGTAAATATATCATTTCATATTTCTGAGTACGTGCATTAGGAATACTTCTTGTCGTTGCAAACTACCTGGACAAATTTTTAGCTGCGGGGCTGAGAAAAATCAGAGATTGTAAAAGGCAGCTTCTGCCCCTCAATACTTTGAATGACTTGGAGCATAACACAATGATAAAATAAGATATTATGAAACATCTTGGCAAGACCATCACAAGTATCCTCTCTGTTCATTACTCCTACATTAATGTTTATTTCTGTTTCCTCTACTGCACAGAAATAGAATGACAAGCAGTTTGTATTATTGCAATTCTCAGTGAGCTCTCTTTCCAAGTGGAAATGCACTATATGTACTAGCAATTTGTCATTGCTACACACACAGCAATACAAACAACACATTCAAGTTTTCCTGGATCGTCACAGGCACAAAGAGTACCATCTTCAAAAAAAATGTTTCTGAACTTAACAAAAGAAAGACATTTACTTTCAATCTCAGTTATATTCTGCTGGAAAGCCATAATCACTAATTTCTCTACGCTTCCATCAAACATTACCCCAAAAAAATAGCAAAATAGATGTTCTCAAAGTAATACTTAAAACGGGGCGCTCAAATGACCTTATGCAGTTGCAAGCGCCGTAAAACACTTACCAAAAAAAAAAAAAACCATTACTTTAAATTATGCAGTCCTCAAACAAGCTTCACTATGACTATGAATATATAGATTTTGGGACAATCTACAAGGGCAGATAACGGGCACAGAAAAATAACAATAACAAGATAGCATCAACGAACAACCTAACATGTACAAACACGTACACAAGTTCGAGTCCAATTCCACAGAAAATTCAGGCCCTTTTATAACAGTTTTACGCTCATCTCCTCCATCTTCCACAAGGTTGCGCTTCTGAGACTTCCAAGGTCTCCGCTTTTGCTTCTTTTGGTCTTCAGAAGATTTGACTGCAGTCTCAATTTCCATTTTGGTGTCTGGTTCTGTCAAAACAGCAGTGAACTTCAATTTAAAAAACTTAACTAGAAGACAAAAAACACATTGAACCACATCGCACGACTTTTCTCTCAATTTCCCTTAGATATCACCAGAATAAAATCTGCAATATCACAAATCAAAGTCATGTAATTTTTCTTTCCTTTTTTCCCCTGTTAAAATCAACTTTTACACAAAATCTGCAAGAGATGAAAAGCAACTAACCTTGTTGATAACTACCAAAAAGCAGAATAAAATGAATCATTTTAAGGAATGTAAATTTTTGTTTGGACTATCAGAAGATTGAGTACTTTATTGGACAGTAAGAAAAGCTTGCCATGACATTATTACAATTTTGAGGATACCACTTCCCTTTAATACCAGAGATTTATAAAAAGCACAACATTATGGACACAATGTTTCACAATGAAGGGAGGCTCCCACACCATTTCCGACCAAGAATCATCAACAAAACAGCGACAAACCTGTAACAATCATCACTTGTCTTCCTCTTTCACTGGGTTCCTCATCCTTGTCAAAGGTCGACATGTCAAGTCTTTTTCTTACAGGAGACAAGTTCAAGGAACCTGAGGAGTAACATAGAAATTAATGGCATTTTGTTCTTGCAAGGTATAGTTTTGCCCAGAGCTGGCCTGTGTAACTAACACAACCTGCCATGAACGATTTGTAAAACACCACCAAATCAAGAATAAAAGTTCAGCTAATCACATGCAACTTATGACCATCACAAAATGTAAGATGTTGAAATTTTTAGTCACATGGCTAGATCAGCTCAGCAAAGAGAGATGGGGACAAGTAATAATATTTCTGAAAGAGTTGATCTGCTGAGACAAAAATTCAGATAACTAGATCTATAGATGACACAGATAAATTTCTCTCTATCACACACTTTTTTTCTAGTACTTCTTTGTTCTCCAAAAAAATATCCAAATGAGTGCAAAAACAAAAAACTGAATGGAAATGCAGAAGTCGGGGGGGGGATGTATATTGACAGACTTAGCAAACCTACCGGGGCCTTCTTCCGCAGCCATCTTTCTTATCTTCTCACGACGAATCTCTTCCAGAGTCTTCACCTTCACATCCGACAAAGGATCAGACTCATCTTCCGACTCCATGGCCTGCTCCGGAGCGGTTTTCAACACCGTCTTCCTGGGAGAACCTTCACCGGCCGAGTGCACGCCCGCGTCGTGGGCTTCCACCAGCCGCGACGCTCGAGCCAACACCCCAGAGGTGGCCATGTCTGCTGTGGACTTTCCCAGCCGGTCTCGAATGCTCAGACGTTTGTGAGCACCAGGTACGATGCCATCTGAATCATAGTCCATATTGATCACTCGCTTCTTGCTTTCCTTCAATGCTTTCTTCCCCAGAGACTCCAGCGCTCCAGAGAAGAGGCGGTTCTGAGATTTCACTTTCTTGCCTGTTTTACCTACTCTCCCAGTCACACTTCTGTGAATAGCACTCTCCGCCATTTGAGCTTGAAGTTTTTTCTTAGCCAGAAGACTTGCTTTTGCTGAAACAAGGAAGATCAAATACATACGTTACCTTTAATGTACCCATCATTTGTGTACAGTCAAACATCAAAGAACAAGAGGAAACACCATGACTGTAAATTTCTGTTAGCATTGAGACTTCCACATGGTATTCAAAATATGAGAAGAAATTGCTATGTGTAATGCCTCTTCCAACTATGTTTTCAATATATATATTAGTACATCAAAGTAACGACCCAAGAGTGAATGACAATTTCTTTTTAATGGAACCTACGACAAACTTTAACAAAATATTTTTCACAAAAGAAAGCACAGAGAGTGCAAAGATTATTCAATAATCTTGAGAGAGAGCAAAAGAAACTGGGAGCATGGAGCAATGGAGACAGAGACATGCAGACACAGAGACAAGAAAAAGAAGCGAGTAACAAATACAAATGCTTACTGTAAGACTCCGCAATACGCCATTTTGAAAAGTGACATACGACAAAGTCTGACTCTGAGTTGTCAAATATATTTCAATCAATAACCTAGATTAGGTTTCGCTCAGAACACAAAGTATATAACTACCTCTTCTCCTTGCAGCTTTCTCGGAGTCTACATCAACCACAACTCTGCGCACATCAGGCTCTGCAGACCAGAAGAGATCAAAATGTTAGAGGGAAACACAGGAAATCTTTTAACAATATATAACACAAAATGGCAACCTATCAAAACACTCTATTCACTCTAACACCTGCCAACCACTCGATGAACAAAAATTCAAGTCTTCTTAGTCCTGAAAAAAAAAAATCAGTCAGGGTCTCCAAAACCCCTTTAGATTAAGATTACATCACAAACCAGAAGTGGGAAGTAAATGTGTTTTTAGCAAACACGCAAAAAGAAGTGCAAATATAAATGTGTATTTTCACACAATTTAAGATAAGCTGCACACATATTGCTACCTGCTGATTTTATCAGAATACTAGGCAGTCTGCACTCCTTAGACAAGTAAGAAAAGAAAAACATTACGATGGATAAAAATTACCAGCGACACAGCTCTTCATATTATAAAACCCAAAATAAATACTGAAAAAACTGAAGCAATTGGATGTCATTAAAGAGAAACGTATGAACACTTTGTGTTTGGAGCAAAGGACAAAGCAAACAGAAAGACAGCAATTACGGAGAGAAAAATCTGCCGGATACAAAGCCCTAAAACCCCTGCCATCTACTCAAAATTAGCGCAAAGTTCCTTACCAAAGTCGTTTGAGTCCTCCGAGTCTTCCTCCTCGCTAGTGTCCGATGAAGAGGAGTCGGAAGATTCTGACGAGGAGGATGACGATTCATCCTCGTCTTCTGATTCTTCATCTTCAGGCTCTTTCCTTTTCAAAGCTGGGACAGACTTTCTCACTACCTTCACCGTTTTAGTAACAGGTCGCACTTGCTTCGTACCAAGCCCTTGTTTCTGAAGTCCTCTTGTAGTTAATGTCTTCACATTTCCAGACTTTGGAGTTGACACTTTAGATTTTTCTGTGGGTAAAGGTTCCTTCCCAGCAGCAGCTGTATGTGAAGAAACAATACCTCTTTGAGATTGTGTCAATGCAACACAACTAAAAATCAAAACTTGTTTCCAGTAACACTTTTTCACACTAATCCATCCTCCTGAAATAATCTAAATCATCAAAGCTTTGAACAAAAAATGGAAGCTGACGCAATAATTTGTTGACCTGTAATTATGAAACTAGTAATATAACTCGCAAATCTATATTGGACAGTATTTATAATCATTCAGTTTCAACAAAACATGTCTGAACTCCTGAAAAAAATGTGTATTTTTTGTCAAATATTAAATGAATACACATATAACAGGTGAAAACATACCCCTCTTTTTCATCATGGACTCCAGGGCTTTTTGCCGAAAAATCTCTTCCATTGACATGACTTTGATGTTTTCAATTGAATCATCAGAATCTGTAAAGGAGAAGAATCACGAATGTGTATGCTTTCTACTTTCTGAACTAATGAACATGAGTGTAGGTATGCAGATTAAGAAACAACATCAGAAGCACAACCTTAGACAACATGGTCCCAGTGAAAATGAACACAAAGAACAAAAGACTTGATCTCAAATGTTATTTTAAGACATATCACTTCATATTAAGCAAGCATTAAAATCCTGCAAACATCACTGCAAGACATAGGACCCATACTTCACTGGAATAACAGAACCTTCCAACATAAACTCTGTAAAATTTTACTGATTTTCAGCCAACAACGTACGCTCCAGATACAAACAAACAAAAAAAAACAGCTGGAGGCAGAGATGTTAAAGATTTTATACCTCGAACAAAAATGTGGAAAAGTTAACTAAAACAAAAATAAATAAACTGACATTAACAAAAATTACAAATTACAAACCTTCAGCACTTGATTCAACATGGTCCTTTTCAGCATTCCCTTGAACTTTGGCCACGTTCTTTGTGGTTGCTGACCCCAAACGATCTTTGACATTCTGACGAGGAGGTACTTTAGTCCCAGCCTTCTTTTCAGCACCAGCTTTCGGCTTTAGCATTTTCTTTCCTTTGACAGCAGTACCTGCAGTGCCCACTTTTTTCTTAACAGCACCAGGTTTTTTCTTCGCTACCACTTTCTTTCCTTTGACAGTACCTGCACTCAGTTTCTTAACTTTCTTCACTTTTGGTTTGCCTTCTGCAGAAGGTGCTGGGCTTTTGTTAACTTTTTCAGATTTCACATTCAAGTTGTCAGTCTTATCTGTCTCAAAACCCCCAATCTCTTCTTTAACCCCTTCTGTTTTATTAAGACTGGCTTGCACATCTTTGAGGTCAGCTTTAGATTCTTGTGTTTGTCCATTTTCACGGCTGCTCACATTAGGGGGTCGCTTGATTGGTGAAGAATTACTCTCTTCAGATTCTGAAAGACACACAGGCTTCTTTTCATAAGCTCGGTATGAATCAAACATTGAGTCATTTTTAGTGACATAAACAAACTACTCCAGACCAGTACTAAACTCTGTCAATCAGGAGTATTTTTCATTGAAACAAGAATTTAAAAGATGCCTAAAAATGTTAGACACAATCTTTAATAAGCACTTCATGCACTTAATTGGGCTTTAGTCCCTCCCAGTCATAATAAATAAAAAATCTCATTTTCAGTCTTTTAAATCGAATGCTTTATACTATCATAATAATCTAGGGACACAATACTGGGAGGAGACAAAAGTGAGCGAAATTTAGTAGATATGGTAATTAACAATAGCCTTTCAAATAGGTATACAACAGAGCACAAATGTATAATATTGACAGGGGAAAAACTACAAGTGACAAATGTTTGATGAACTTAAAGAGCAACACGGGCAGGAAACGTTTTAGCCTCCTTCTCAAAAGGTGACAGCCAGTGGCTCCACTCTTCTAGATGTACTAAAAGAGCTTTGAATGTACTTTGAAATTATACCATATATTTGGCTCATAACTGTATAGATTCACTTAGAATCTTCCCTGAAACGTTATTGAAACAACACCACCGAACATTTGTGATGTGGAAACAACAAAAACAATAGGCAGAAATAAAAGAGACAAGACAAAAAAACAGATGAAATTTTTTTAAAAAGAAAAAGTTGAATCCCTCCAGCCACTCAGAAAATGAAAAAACTTCCCACTGCCATATTATTTCAAACAAAGACAGCTATAATGGAAATTAGACGACACACACACAGTAAGAGCCATAACTTTCCAGTACCTGCTGGCTGAATGATGACTGGGGGGACCTGAGGGACGGAGAACTTGCCGGAAGAGCTCTCCTCAGCTACTGGAGCAGTGACGGCAGCTGTAGCTGAAACAAACAGACAAGAACAATAACATTACGGTTAAATAAGTTCAGGATGAATACTTGCAGCGTACTCAACATTTTCGTTTACAAAGAAAGATGAACAGCATAACTCCATAACACTTAGAAACATAAACAAGAAACTACAACGATCATAAAAATATCCCTTCTGTTTCAAAAATGTTAATCTCTGTATGAAAGAAGTGTTAGTCTTTTCAACAGAGAAGAGCATTTCAGAGATAGGTCAAGGTTCAATTTCCACGAAAACTCCCTAGCTTCCAAAGTGCCCCCCAACAAGCACTCAAACCAAGGCCATCCACACCTACGTCAACAATTACCAAACATGGGAGAACAGAGAACCTCATGCTTGCTTCTCCCTCTTTCAATTCCTTTCATGTACATAATCATACAACCACTCTTTTATATACACATAAGATTAATTCAGTAAAAGCCACTTTTTTTAAAGTATGAAATGAATGAAGAGTCTTAACAAGCATTACATAAAATGTTGTTACAAGTCATAACAGCTGTAGAAAGAAACATGTTGGTCCAACAGTAAAAGTCGAACAGATATACTAGTCAAGACACTTCAGTCACCTCTAATTTCCCTTCCAGCACTCGTGAACAAACAAGAATGTGTCACAACATGGTGGAATCAGGCGCTCGTCAATTTTTGGGAAAATGGGGTTATTGGTATTATCTAAAAGCCTGTTCATTTGCCCTCCTTTGGGTGAAAAAAATATTCATCTCTTTTTAGTAGAAGTCGAAATATTTGCGACTGAAGGAGGTCATGGTCGACTGGTTTCAGAGGTACAATTAGCGAGAAAATGGCCGCCAAAGTTTGGTAACTTCCTTAGCCCCAGAGTCCTTGGAAACTGAAAATTTACATTTTTTGTGCCTTTAATCAATGTATTTAAGTAAAATCCACGCGCAAATGTTTTTAAATTGACATAAAATGTGTTTTCTTTGAATTCATTATTTTGAAAAGCGCCTGATTTCACCATGTTGCCTCACATGAACTTTTTCCTCTGCACAATAAAACAGAACAAGAACAAAACGCACCTGGCTGTGTTGAAGTGACAATGTCGCTGGTCGGTCTCGGTTTGACATGCTTGAAACCACAGTTAGCTTTTGTGCATCCACTCGGTTGACTCTCCCAAAAGCATGCGACTTCCGTCTTCCCCACTGGGACCTACAATAACAACAACACATAGAGGCAAAGGTAAAAAAGGGACAATTGTCCTTGTTTAATGCAAAATTTAAACATGAATCCCTCCATAGTAGGACAATTATTTTGCCTTGATGATAAAATGAATTTTTTGTTCTTGGTGTCTTGTTTCTCTAGCCCAGTCACTTAAATACACTTTGTTCCAAGTAAATTTGCCAGGAGCACTTCCCCCTGCAAACATAAGTATTAAAACTTTCGAACAAAACTTTCCGTTCTAAGGAAAACCAGCGTAAAAATCTCTGGCACAGAGTATCTTTGTGTGGAGGTACAGTTTAGCTGAGGAAGCAATGTCTAACGTTCAACAATGTCATTATCATCTCCCTCCATTGCACTTGCATCAGTGTCCTAACAATCAGCACTACTTTCTATAGCTTCTTCACCTTTCAGCTGTGTAGGTTCACTTTGCCATAATTCACACTATTAAAATCAACTGACCTACATTCAACTGGGCACTAAAATTATTTGATCCAAGTGTTAGATTATCTGAAAGGGCTCACAAATCCCCCCCCCCCTCCCTAAACATTATTTTTGCAAGGGAAGCCACATGGACAATATGTCACAGTCGGTTTTCAAGAGGTATCACTACAATTACAGAATCTCTATGTGTGAGCAGCTCCAAACAAATAATGACGTTTGGGTTTTTTCATAAGAGTTTTACGGCACTTGCAACACAATAAAGTCATACAAGTGCCGAAGATTTATGGTGTTACAAGGGAGTAACAAACACAAAAAAAGAAGGGAGAGAAAGATGATAGATGTTTGATAGGAAAGAAGGAGCAAACCACATCAGAGCACACGGCAATCACCCACAAATAAATTATGAGCACAAGGAATCTCCTGTGTGCATTACCATATGTGGTAACAAATGGGAAGAATTATCCTCTGCCAACAAGGTCACGAAAGGTGCATTAACAATATTTGACACATTCAAATTATCATGAACACACAATTTCAAGCAATACGCTTATCAAACAACTCACATCACATGGAATGACTTACAACTTCAAAACTTGAATGCCTGAATTTGCACATAGGTCTGTAGCATCCTCCCATCTGCCAGTGCTGACAAATTATTCTGTTAGACTTTGCAGCTTCAACATGTCGGAATGGACATGCACTGCCCTATAGAGACAAAATGAAAATTGCTTAGTATTATTATTAAAATTTGAGTGACGAGAAATTTAAACTTACTTGTATGCTTCTTACAACAGTTCTGACATTGTTTCATATATTTCCACAGATAAAAAACAACTTTTGACAAGAAAATAAAGTGTGTAGGTGTAGGTGTGGGTGTGTCTGTGTGTGTGTGTGTGTGGGTGGGTGGGTAGGTAGGGAGGAGGAAAGGACTTTCACAACTTTCAAAAGAGATAAAACCAGAGGCAATTTTTCTTTCTTCAGGCATTATAATTTTGTATCTTGTACTGTAAAAATGCAAAACACGCAACTAAGCCCTTGTAAACAGAGTGAACCCCTTTTATTACCTTGTCTGAAAAATGGTGTTTTTAACTCCATAGTAGCCTCCCAAATGACATTGTCAGGTTATGATATGGATTCCTGCTTGCCAAGAGATATTTTCCCAACAATAAAACACTGTACACACAACCCATACTGACCTTAGCACAGGTCGACGTGAAGAAGAAATAGCAGTCATCCCCAAGGGTTGCCATGGTGGTTGTCCGTCAAACTGTGCTATCGAATGAGAGGTGCAATCATAAATTGAAAGAAGTTTGAAGACAGAAAACAGCAAAGACTCTTGTTCTGGATCACAAGTTCACAACAGGGAACAACAGGAGGCAATTTTTCTGAAAGAGAGAAGAAAAATCTGTATTATATTAAACATCTCAAAACATTACAACTCCTTTCCAGCATGCTTCATACCTCTACACCCACAACCCTGCTGGGGAGATGGGCTTTTCGTTGGTGCAAAAAGCCACAATAAAAGCTTCTATTTCCCCACCAAGGCTACCGACATGTGCGTAACCATGTGTACTTCACCATGACACAAAGGCAATGGGAAAGTAGTCTTCTGAGACAACTTCAACAGAACAGACAAGGGAATAGATGCATACACTGGAAAAGTGTTGACATCTGGGGTATGGCATACACAAAACAAACTCCCAGCCATGAGTCTATCTTACTCCTCATAAATCACCCAAATAGTGTCATTGAAATACATCATGTTTATTTCAGTTATTTAAAATGCGAGACCATGCCTTTATATTCCCCTGGCTGAACTTCTAAAAGTAAATTATAAGCATTCAAAAACTAAATCGGTCGTTCCGATTCTTCCGTAACTCGCAAAATAGATGTGTTATAGAGCAATGCAAACAGTTGAACCTGTCTGTAATGGTCATTCTCAAGTTACTGTAAAGTAGATATTATGTATGGGTTGGGTCTGAGATAGGGTCATTTACTAGACTTGACAAAGTTCTCAGATGATTCAAAATCTGAAATCTTAATATATTTCCATTTTGTTTCCACAGACTGTTATCTAACAAAACTTTTTTGTATACACGTACACGCTCAGTCTGAAGACCTTTGGCAGAAAAATTTTGTTGCAGGGGATCACAATGAGCAGGTTTTGAGGCTGACTCGAGGAAAAAACTACAGACCATGCCCACGTTGGACAGACAACAACTAGAGAGCCCTTAAGGCAGGTTCGACTGTATTTTAAAGAGGACAGTGAACAGACAATAATATAATAATACTAATCAATCCATAGTACCTAACAAAAATGAAGAGAACAGATTTGAACAAGCGAAGAAGTTTCAATATCACTTAGAAATTTCAGTCAATCTATCACAAAATTTTTGAAGTCCAAACTTTTCATTGCATTTGAATTTGATCAAAGTTAGTTTAGTTTAGTACGGGGTTTTACGGCGCTCGCAACTGCATAAGGTCATATGAGCGCGCAATCTGATCAAAGACAAACATGAACGCCAAAACAAACACAAAAGCACATCTGGGTAAACATACCTGCCACTATTACTCATGAAGAGTCATCTCTGCAGCTGAATCGTCAGGACTGGGTCCATCATGGTCCAACATCAGAAATACAACACAGCCTAACAGCTCTTTTTTTCCACCTAGGCCTACTTGTCCCCAAATAATAATTCTAGGTTTACAAAACAAAGTACTGACCCAGTAATTCTTTCTTGCTTACTTTTTCGTTTTAACAATACCATCTGGGGACAATCTTACTATTGATACTTACTCCATAAAAGCAGCTTCAAATATGTAACATTTAATACTCGTTAACTGTAACTGGAGTCTAATCCAGCAACATCACTTGTCTTCATCTTTCAACAAAGCCTACACCTGAAGCTACCACCAATTTTCAATTTCTCCATATCTCGCATTTACACAAAATGTCTTGTGAGTTTGTTTTATGTTGAGGTGTTTTTTTACTGTACTTCACTAAATATATGAAACCCTACATCATTCATGATTTACACTTCAGCTTCAGGTTAAGAAAAAATGAGCAGACAGAGCAAATTTTAGGGGACAAAAATTACAGAGACTCCTGACAATACCAAACAGACCACAAGTGCAAAGACGAACTACAAAAACTCATGCTACAATAAAGATAACTTAATTTTTTTTTAATCCAAAATATTTTCACCGTCTGTCTTCACTGAAAAGTTGTAGCTTTAAAAAAAAAAAAAAGAAATTTGAACGTCTGTAGAGAGATTTTATTTTTGTGCTCCCACTCTCATCTTACCTCTAACTCCAAATTAGCCCCAAAAGAAAAAACAAAGCTATAACAAAGAGAAGCAAATCTGAGGAATATTGATCAAAACGGATACAACAAAACCCATAAATGGGAAGAAGCCAAAAACAGAGAAGAAGAAGCCAATTCGAGAAAAAAGTATCCCATTTTCAAAAAAGCGGATAAATGAGCCTTTGGATGTCAACTTTATGAGGACAGGAGAGACGACGACTCATTTCCAACGAATATGCCAAGTCCAGCGGAGGAAGACGAGGAAGGTGAAAGTTGCGGTTTCAAAATTGAAACAACTGATAGCGGTGCAGGGGAGTTGAAAGAGGGAACGGCTGACCTTAGTCTCCCACCCTTCAAGCCTGTCAAGCAGCCTTGTCCCCAAGTTGAGATGCAAGACGGAGCGACACAATTTGACTCGATGCGAGGTCAACATTGAGCATTTGTGATAAAAAATTTGTTATAGCTACCAATAATTTGTTATTTTTACTTCTTTATTAAGGCATGCAACTCTACACCTGGGTGCTTCGAGACCAAGCAAGAGGATGGACCAGTGTCAACTCATCTTAACTCTTAGAGCTCTGTTCGCGACTATTTGCATCAGTGCTCGCACATGCTCAAGGCCTGATTGCGACTATTCGTTAGCGTTAGAAACCGAGAAACAAGTTTTTTGTGCGGTCCTGAACAGCGCTTTTTATATACCGTTGACCACGCGTTTTCAATCCTCTGACCAATGCCTTTTTTTCACTGACCAGTGCGTTTTCGTCAGGGCTCCACCTTTCAAGCATGGCAGAAGCAGAGGAAGATTTGCGTTTCTTTGTTGATCTAATGCCTGAGGAAGACTCAAATGATGAAGAATTTGAAGGATTTACAGCCGACGATGTACTGATGGAAGAGCCGAACCGGGGGTAACTAAATGTACTAGACTTTGCCCCGTCTCATGATGCTGACCACCCCGCCGATGTAGAGTCCGGTTGGAAAATGTTCACCAACAACGTTTCAAAACCCCCAGTCAGTGAATTCACAGGAGCCACACTTCTGGCTACCATTAACGTTGACATGAAACCAATTGACTTCTTCAAGACATTCATTGACGATGAACAGATTGGATCTTTCGTCGCACAAACCAACGAGTATGCTTTTCAAAAGCAGAGCGCAAGTGATGTGGGAGAGAACAAGTACTTAGAAAAGTGGAAGAGGGTGACTTTGGAGGAGATGAAAGTGTTCCTTTCAGGTAATGTATGGAATTTTTTTCTCATTACCCACAAATACTAGATCTAGATTTTAGTTTTAGACTTGGACTAGAATTCTTTAGATCTAGATCTAGATTAGATTATGATACATGTCAGGAGGGAACAAGATCTGTTTGCAAACTCTGTGATGTCTCTTTAAATCGTATTTTCAGTAGGCTAGACTAGATCTAGAGCAAAACCATTGCGGCTATGGTTAGCTAGAACAATAAAAATGGTGGTCTGCTAGCAACTTCAGGACAGACAGAGAAAATAGTCGTCGGCCTTCTACAGGCAGCCAATGCTTTAAACAAGGGGCACCATGTATACATGGATAATTATTATACCTCCCCTGCTGTTTTATTTTCTGTCAAATAAAAACACTTTGCCTGCAGCTTTTGCAGACCCTTCACACAAAACAGCTTTTCTTTTTTTTAACGTTAACCTTTTGTCCCTTAACATTTCTAACAAAAGTATCAATACACAGCATCTATCAAGCAGTATTCTGTCATCATTTTTTTAAATGAGAAACAGTATTGAAATCAGGTTTTGATGCTTACTTTGTGAGTTTGTAATGTTTTTATTTTGTGCCGTAACATTTCTAAACAACATGATTGGGGGAAGAAAAACCATGCTTAACCCAAAAACCAAAAATTGAACAGCTTTGCTACTCTACAGATCAAAGGGGAGAAGGATACTACCCCTTTGGTCAAAATTTTGAGCTTTGTACTCTGACTTGAAATTTTGCCCCAGTTGTTACCGTTTAGCCCAATATAGGTGGAATGACCCATATAAAAATGCATCATCGAGCAAAAGAGCACCTTTCTGCAAGACCAGAGTTGAAGAGCTATTATTTCATAAGGCCACCTCTATTCTCACCCGGGGTGAGAATAGTGCAGGCAAGTCCTTTGGCTATTCTCACCCGGTGCGCGTTCACCGTTATAGCCTAGATCTAGGCCAACAAATTTTGCGTTCACCCTAAACCACAGAATTCTACACTGTGATAACAGAAAAATTGTAGAATTCTGTGCCGTGAACAAACGTTCCATTACAACTGTAGCCTACTAAAAGCGTACAATTTTGTCTGTGGGCAGTGGAGAGAGAGAGAGAGAAAGAGAGAGAGAGAGGAGTAGCACGAGAACTTCCGGGCAAAACAAAATGGCGACCCGCGTAGTTCGGCTCGAGTCAAATTAAATAGCTGTAGCATCTTTGTAGACAACCAAATTAATTTACTTTTGTGTTTTAACATCATTTTTTAACTTTGTTTTGGTCAATTTGATCGTCCACACCGATAGACAGTATTCAGAAAGAGACAGAGAGAGAGAAGAGGGGAGGAGTAGATCTTGCGAGAACTTCCGGGCAAAACAAAATGGCGACCCCCTTTGTTCGGCTCAATTTGAAAAGTGAAATAGCCATAGCATCTTTGTAGTCGATAAAATTAGCTTACTTTTGTGCTATAACGTAATCTTTTCTTTGCCTTTATCCATTTGATCATCCACATCGATAGAAAGTATTCCGAAATTAGGAAAAACAGGTCTTGTTTCAAACCGGGTGAGAATAGCCTAAGGCTAAGGTGGCAAGTCTCACCCGGGGTGAGAGGTCAATCGTATTTCTATTCTCACCCCTGGTGAGAATAGCCACTTCCATTTCATAAAGTCGATTTTGAACCTCACTTGTCACATCCGGATACCCATCTTTTGACATCAATCAACTCCAATAGAAAGTTCAGGCTAAACATTCAGAGAGGAAAAATGCTTGATGAACTTGGATTTTTGATTTTGAGAAATGAAAAATTTTCTAAATCCTCTGAGAAACTGGATCCCCCACCACAACTTGAAAAAAACTGCAGATTAATCTTCATTTGAAAACAGAAGAAGAAGACAGTTTCCAAACAAAAATGACAAGCTGAAAGCACTGCACACCAGAGTCCAGAGATTCAATGATCAAGTGACTGGCTTAAAAGAACTGAGACCACGAACGTTGAGATACGACCGTAAAAAGCACTCGACAGACTTGGACTCCATGATAGACAGTATTTGCAGACACTGCTGCAATACAACCCGAACAGATTGTCCAAACCCAAAATCCAACATGTTTACCTTTCAGTTTCACCTTCTTCTGGGTTTCATCAGATTTGTGACAACCGCCAACTGAAAGTGAAAGGATGAAAGGTGACCACGCCACACAACGCCATATATTATACTATCAATATTATGAGTGCCCACTGAACAGACAAACGACAGCGCACACACATGCATCAATGAATAATAAAAGCAAAGCGTTGACTTGGTTACAACAATGCTTTTCTTTCGAAGTTACTGGTGACACAAAGCCAAAGCTGTCTTGGCGTGCCGTGCCGTGTCTTGGCTTGGGCTATTTCTCATTTGATGACAAGTCCAATTGAATTGAAATTGAAGCAAACCGTTCAAACCAGACTGAAAAGTTAAAACGATAGCTCCAATTTTCTAAGCAGAACAAGATAGCAACACCCTTAAGTCATTGAAAGGCAAAGCGTAATCCCAAATAATTTATGAAGTACACGAGTAAATTGAAAAACTATAACAGTAACAGTGACAGCACCAACCAGCAACACAGTTCAGTGACCAACTCATTCACTTCTTCCTATCTTCAGATTCAATCTCGATCTACGCTTCAGAATAGTTGAAAAACAAAAAGACTAATATGAACGAAATGAACATAATCTACCCGCTTACTGTATTTTCAGTTTCTTTTGAAATTGTACAGAACGTTGAAACAACGTATAACAAAAGGCGTCGTTGTTTACTTGAGCACAATCGAGATCAGATCTATCTCGTCCATCAACAGTTCGACTTCCGGTTAGATCTAGAGAACTTCCACTTCCGTTTTGCATAATACTAAACCCAGATTTTACTGGGTGAGCTAAATAGAATCTACAATGTATTAGATCCAGGCCTAATTAATTTAATTATTTACCCTTCTGTCACTCGGCCTGACCTTTTTTGCTCCTTTAAGCCTAGCACAATGAGCAGGCAAGGGAGTGCGAATGATGTTTTCTTCCAGTAATAATGGCTGTATGCCAACCATGTGTAAAATACAAATAACATTGAACAGTCAAATCATCAATCCAAATTCCAAACAGATCTTTCAGACACAAATCAAGAACGGAAGTAATAGATCTATTTCAAACTCTAGAAATATTACTCAAATGTGAAGAATTTTGGTGAAAAACGAAGAGTTCAATAAAGGAAAGGAAGAAAAGATCTCTCCCAAATACAAAGAAAGCTAAAATAAACAAAGGATGACAGGACATACTCAAACTAACTGAGGAAAGAAAGCAGTCAAAATCGAATGTCGAAAAGTAGGCCTACTTACGTACCTAATTATTTATAGGCCTATTATTTGAAGGGGGGGGAGAAAAAACAAATTAACCTATATATGTAATATGAAGCAAAAGAAACACTGATAACAGATCAAAGTCAAGAAACAGTTAAGAATTATTTTTTTTAAGTCAATACATTTTAATACAGTGCATGCACGGCACAAAAATCATATTCAACTCGCTGATCCTGGTATGTGCTTCGACTTCGACACACAAACATGAGAACAATTCCAGTTTGCCTACGCCAAAAGAAAATAACAGAGCCTCCACTAGATCTATATGCGATTTCCCCTCGCTCTGGGTAGGCACGGAAAACGGGGAAGTTAGGCCTTCTCAATCCCATTCCAAGTCTTGGTTTTGGTTTTGATATTCCGATAGTTACAAATTTTAAAATTACAACCGCGAGCGGAGCGAGTCCTCAATATCTTAACAAGTGATCTAGCTGTCAGTTTTCGTGGTTATGAGCGGGCAGGACAATTTAAAGCCTATCAGCCTCGCCCTGTCACTGGTGTCAACGCCCACTCCTGTCAGGATTGTCCCAAACTTTGTTAGAAAATCAGAATATTGTCTAAACTCTTCCTAGCGGTGCCTGCATTCCTGCACGCTCTTATTCCGTCGGTTGTCTCCTCGACAGTGATAGCCCCCGTATGGGAGTGGCGACAAGACTCGGCCTCAAAGTTTGCGAGCTTCACATGCCGATGTGGTTCAACAGTCAATTGCTTTGGCCTACACCCAATGCCCAGTCGTCGGAGAGGTGGTCATGTCGTGTAAAGTGCGCTCCGGTTCTTTCCCACCATTGTCGGTCATCTCCTCGCTCAGCCTCCACTTCTTGCAGGCCTGTTGTCAAACGCAACAGGTGACCCGCAGTAAATGAGGTGGTTGTTCGAGAGAATCCCTCTGGCAATGGTTAGAGGAAACGTATCCTCAATATTGACGGCCCCACTGGCTCAAGAGTGATGGATCACGGCCCTGGGACATCAATCAACAGGATGACACATAGGACACGGAGTCACCGATAGTCCAATGGTCTCCTAAAGAGCCATTTCTAACACAGAATGGGCACATCCGCTTGGAATGAGAAGGATAAAAGTTTCCGATCCTCCAACTTTCTCAAGACCATCCTGTACATGTATATAACTGAAATGTCTTCCCAAGCTGTGTTGACCAGCCACTGGACAAAGTGGACATTCTCTTTGTACTGGACGCCAGCCAAACGCCAGCACAGCCGTGGGAAAGACCAACTTCCGTAAGGAGGTGGATTTTGTGGGGCGTCATGTAATCTCTGAACATCAGCTCTGACACCGTCTGGGTAGGCCTGGAGATAGAAGCGGACTACGCTTGCCTCCAGTTTAGCCTGGACGATCACAAGGCTCTCAAGGTTTTGTTGTTGTTTTTTGGGTTTTTTTGTTTTTTAATAGTAAGGTTTTCGGCTCTCACAACTGCATAAGGTCACATGAGCGCCAAGGTGTTCATGTCAACAGAGAAGTCCAAACTCTCAAGTTTGTGCCTTAAAAAGGAGGGTGTAGAAACCCAGGTGCCGGTGTCAAGTATAATGTTTTTAAAAAAATGGAGTGGATAGTGTCCTGGGAGGTCGACCTGGGGTCCAAGACATTATTTTGTCAGTGGTCAACCGGTGGGGAGCGACTTGATGCAGATAGAGACTGTATCATCAGGTGTCCATTCGTGACAAATACAACCCAGTGTGTTGTGCAGCAACACTAACAGATTGTCCACTATTGGCGCCTGTGTTGATTAGTGTATTAATGGATTCTAGTTAGTTTTAGTAGAGGTTTTACGGCGCTCACAGCTTCATAAGATCATATGAGCGCCAGAAGATTAGAGGTGTTACAAGAGAGTAACAAACATAGAAAAGAAGAAGGGGAGATAAGGACGATAGGTGTTTGATAGGAAAGAAGAAGCAAACCACACCAGAGCACCCGCCAATCACACACAAATGGACTCTATTGGCCCCGCTCTAAAAGTATCGAAGAAGCGTGTCCCCCCCACCCTGCCGTATTATTTTTCTTTTTTTGGGGGGGGGGGGCG